AGATTACAAACATGAAGTTTTGAGCTTATAAATAACGATTTTCCTAGTAAAACTGTATACGTTCTCTAAAATGTTTAATATGTATTGATCGCGTTACATGAAATCTATGCGTAGATTATGGGACTTCTAGTAGTAATTAGAAATTTATTTCTACATTTACACTAGAATGAACTACTTCTTGATGTTGAGTACGGTTTTCATTGTAAAGTGATATCAGTTGGTGATTTATTAAAAAATAAGCGCGCTATGAATAGCTGTAGAGTCTCACATTTCGATTTCACTACTTTTCTCAGAACAGAATCATAATGCACTAGGTACCAACACTGTTTCTATGTTCAACAAAAGAGGATGATAATTTTTTTGTTATCTGACTACTTTTATAACTTGTCTAAAAAAAAATGAGAAAGGATCCACCTTTTATGAAGGATTATGTTTGTATTTTACTCAATGACAAACACGTTTATTATTAAATTTAAAAGTTATTATTTATTTCCTTAAGAATAATAACTGCTGTTCCGATTTTCTAAATCGATATAGTCACCTTTCATATTTAAAATCTCTTATAACATATTAGAAATCCTGAATTATAAGCACAGTATTCTTACACATTTTCAATAACATGTAGCATAATAAACTAAGAATTATGATTCATTAAAATAGACATTTGGTTGAAACGTATCAAATTACACTGATTTTTAACACATCTGAATGCTTGTTATGTAGTTACCAAGGCAACTCCCGGAAGCAAACATATATCTTTACATAAAAAAATTATTTCCACAAAAACATATATCACTTAAAAGATATGCTAGAATTTTTCTATTTTAGATAAAAACTAAATCATGAGACTAAATTAAAACAAAGCTACTTGTCAACTCATCAGTGATGTAATTAATTAAACATGATAAACTAAATAATTTGGTCACAGTGTGGACTGTAAGATTTGACTAGATAAAATTGTCCAACAGATTCATAGATTAATTATTAGTGCCTGATGATACAGACGATAGTGTTTTATAGGTATCGATAAAATATGAATTATTAATTATTTGAAATCATTAAAATGGTTTAAAATTAATTAAATTTTAAGTAACTAGTTTCTGGTGATAAAAGATTTGTATTTATAATGACAAAATATAATAGAAAATCGTCCAATTATTTTATTTAAAGAAACGTTTAATTATTACTAATAATTTTAATTAGAATGTATTGTTAATTATAATTTTTCTTACTAAGTTTTTATAACCAAGTTATGATGAGTATTATTGTTTACCTATTAAAATATCTTACTGAAAAATTATTAGTTTATGCTATGAACTAGTTAATTTCTGTATTATATATATATATATATATATATATATATATATATATATTCACTTTTCGGGATAAAAGTCTATTTAAGTGCGTCTAACTAAATAGTTAAGTGATTATAGTAATGACAATTCAGATCAAGGTATGTTCTGATAACGACAACACCAAAAGTAAAGTTCAACTGACTGTTATTTTAGTGAGTTATTGAAAATCCCGTATTCACTTTATTGTCATTGTAATTGATTAATGTAAAGAAACTGTGGTTTCATAGCACTATGAGTTAAGAGAACAAAACTCCATCAAAATTACTGAGTAGTAATTTAAATGGCTGTATTTGAATTAAAATATATTGGCTCATTAACGCAATATAAGTAGCAAAACATTATCTAATTATTTCAGTAACCAGTTAATTTAGTGTAACAATGAACAGATTTCAGAATTGGTTGTCCACAAACATACTCCTAATAAACATTACTGACCTCTTTAATTAATTGTACATTTTCTACCTGTTTCTTCTAAAAATTCTTCTTTACACTGTCAAAGTACACTCCATATTTAAAAGTGTGTACATTATAACAATCATTAGGGTTATTATGAATAGCTGTTTAAGATTAGTAGTGACTGGTTTGTTTATTTCATAAGTTGTGATTTGTTAAGATCAAGGCTTAAATCGAACGTGCTGTTTAACCAAGATAATTATTATTCAATAGATAATGCATAAGCTTCACTAGAATTTTAAGGAACATCTAAATGACTGCGTTGTATACTGCTGTGTTTATTAATTTATATACTTGTGGACACATATGGAGTAGTGATCGTAAAAGTTGCTGAACATGTATTAAAATAGTTGTAAAAACAAATAAGGTCAAACGACACGATAAAAGCAGATAAAAAGTACTCATTTTCCTCAAATGCTAAGTAGTGGAAACTATTCATGAAAATAATTTAAAGCCATCCTTTGTGATTTGTATAAAATGTATCTAGTGAATATACTTGGACTCTTTGTAACCCTAAGTGAATGAAAGTTCAAATTTCCCAGTGCAAAGAATAATTTGTACATTCGCTAAGACTATTCAAATAATATTCACTTCATACAAAAAAAGTTTTCGATCTACATTATTTTTCCTTATTATCATCTAATAATATTCCAAGTTATCTTGTTGAATCTTATATACATATGCGGTAGATTGCATCAAGTGCTTTGCAATAATATGTCACATAGATACGAGAAATTTCGTCTCATTGGATTATCTAAATTTATCGAAACGGTTAGTTGTTCTAAATTATCTCTGTAACCGATCCCTCAATTTTCATACTTGAATTTGAGGATTTGATCTGAAACAATCGGAAAATTTTTAAATATTTTGTAATCGCTATCTCAACACAACTATAGAAATTCATTCAGTTTTGAATTTCATTAAAGTCATTGAGGAATACACTCAACAGTTTCCGCAAACAAATATTTTTATGAATCCTATCATACGTTTATTCAGTAAGATAATTTTTATAACGTTCAATCAATTTACATATAAATATTTTAGCATTATATTTATGTTGGTTATTTTATATATTACTCATAAGAATGTTTTTACTATATTGATAATGAGCTTAAAACTCTGCTTTGACAACCGCAGATTTCAGATGTTTATTAAGATATAAACCTATATATCACTGATTTTCTATTTCGCATTTGTTTCTTTTTGGTAAATACATTAAACTGTTAATTTTCTAAGAAAATAATCACATTTTACAACTTATTAGATAGAAAGCAAAAACATTAAGGGATCATTTCATTAATGAATAAACAGTTAACCAAAATATTCATTCAAACACTTAAACTGTCTATATTATATGCACATAACCGGTTTTATGAATTTATGTTTCATGTACTATTGTGAATTAACTATCTATATCCCCTTACATCTTTCCTACGTTTTATGCTTTCGCTGAAAATTTTATTGGTGAATAACTGTCACTTCATTTTCTGTTCTGCATTGTTCTGAAACCTAATCACCCGTAAATGTTATTGATCTAAATCTTGTCCCCAAGTTACATCTCAGACAAAAGTTATCTAAAATAATCTGTAACATTTCTCCGATAATATGAGTTATGGGTATTGGCTGGAAATATTGATATTACATTATTATACTAACATACAATTTGGTGTGTGCTTTCCAGTCAAATAGTGGTCAGACAAGATATATATTTGTAAAGAATACTAAATCTAGTTAATATCATAGTCCTAATGACCATGATAATTCAGCGAACGTTTTATAAACCGATATATGATTCCCCTTAATATAGCTCCATGTTTGACTTTATCCATCGTCAGTGCATTGATAAACGATATGTAAAATTTTATTTACCTCTTGACTTACGAATTTTTTATTCACCTACTTCAACAGCAGACTTTAATGTGTTTGAATGCACTTATCTTATTTTTAAACGAAAATTTATTTTCCATCACTTTTACTAAGTTTATTGAAATTGACATATTATTATAATCATTGTAATTTATTTACTGCATATACAAGCTTTACGCATGAATAGTGTTTAAAGCAAAGAGTAGTATATAATTGACAAAAATATATTAGTTTTATTACTTTTTATCCGTTTTATCGATAATTCCATGAGTAATATATCACTTATGGATAATCTGCTGCTTGTATGAAGTAGTTGTTTTGTTTTTACCAAGTATCACCAATCTGAACTTATGCAGTAACATGAAACTATCAAACGAAGGTAAACTGGCGAAGAGTTGCTTGAGAGAATATAAATGTTCGCAAATAATGAGACTAGTTGGTGAATCATCCTATCAAATAATAATTCTAAGACTAGAACAATCTCAAATACATAACTTATGTTTTAAATCTGTAAATTAAGTAGAAACAATTGCCTACTGACCTCATCGAAGGCAATAAATGTGTCATAATATATATATTTATGTATAATTAGTTTCTTCATTTAAAACCATCAGTTGAATTTTTTAATTTCAGCTCTTAAGTATTTTCTTGTGAAGTTACCTGTTCCGAAATTCGAGTGTTTTTAAATGAGTGTCAAAACATCAAAATTACCCATAAATCTGCACAGCTGATATAAGCTTAAAAATATCTCTGACATTTGAAATAGTATACTATTCTGGTTTCTAACCAGTTCTGTACCCCGAATTCACTCATCAATGATTTTTCACGACTTTCAACATGTGTTTCGTGCATCAGAATGATAGTGGTTCAGATCATTGACGGAACACTTATTTTGATTAACTAATGTCAATTAATGTACCATTTGTAATGAATGATTAGTACCACAATATCAGTAATGATTCGGAACCACAAGTGGACAACATATTTCTAAAGGATTCATATTTCATAAACCTTATGTATCTAAATTTCTGACAAGAAAATGAATGATATTCGTATAACTGAACTGCGGTTTTTACGAATTTATGGAATCATTATTTTGTAATAGATTAGTACTTAAGTTCATAATTACTGCGATTACGTTATAATGATGTTTCAAGTAAGGTCAGTTAGAAAATGATATCTTGTGTATTGTTAGAGACGCATGGGCGAATATTAGAAAGTCATTCAGTGCATACTTAAAATTATAACTATGATAACTGATATCCATTTGTAATAAAACTAACCACAATTCCGTCCTTCTTACTTCCATTATGCATAAAAATTTAGTTTTGTTGAAATATACAATGAAAAAATTCATGATTTACTTAACAATACAAAGGAACAATCATCAATGCGTATTCGTGAACATCCTGATGATGGACCATATGTAGAAGGTAATGCTTTTTAATTATTTATTTTTTAAAACAACATTCTTCAGATCCAGAAAAATTAATGAAACATTAAACTAATGATTTTGTTTTATACAATAGTTTACCAATAGCATATTTCGATGTATTGACGTAAATAAGAACAAAATAGCTAAATATCAGTACCGTAAGCATATAGAATAGACACAATACTAAGCTGTGTTGTACTAGATAGAAGTGAAGTTAACGTTTGTTTTAGTTACTAAATTATATCACGAAATCCAGACCACTTATCGGTTGGTCAGTAACCTAATTCTCGAACATGTCGAGCACTGGTAAATTGTATAAGAAGTAGGTTTGGAATTAGTTAACATTAATTATTTACTACTAGTTTTACCGCTATAATATACCTTTTTATTTTTAACAGGTTTAACAAAAGCAACTTTGACTGATGTTAAGACTTTACGTACAGTCATTGGTAAAAGTATTAAAAATAGGTAAGTGTCTTAAATTGCTTATATTATTCAACAGTATCAAATATGTAGCACGACTAGTGTATGAGGGTCATATAAAATGCTAGAGACAGTAAGTTCGTCATATTTAAGCTGTTTTACCGAGCAATACTTACTAAGACGTCTAAGTTTATGAAATTAAGCTGTTGAATATTAGTGTTTTTTTATATACTGGTGACTTTTTGTACAACAAATAAATCTAATCTTATTAGAAAGTGATGTTTTTTTCACAATAAAGACAATAGTTAGTTTATATATTTGGAATATGTTTCCTACAATAAGTGTTCAATTGTCTGAAGCGCTGAATTTTTGAGTCAAAATTCATTTTAATTAGTTTCTAAAATGTGTAATTTAAGTGACTATAGATTTACTTATCTTATGATAAATAGTAACACAACTAAAATGAATTTTAAATGCTGTTCACAGTTACCTGAACCGTTACACATTATATTTTGTTATGTTTTTCTGCACTTCAGTCATATCTCTAGCAGTGACAATGAAATAATACATGTATCAATAAATTTATTTAAGTATTCATATCAGACTATCGAAAATTTCAATAGATAATTTTTTCGTAACTAACTGAATACTGTGGACAAGAGATGCTTTGATCATTATGGTTATAAGAAGGAAAGATTCAAACCAAACAAAATGTTTACGGATTTCCATATTTAAGTTATTGCTTGTGGAGTTTAACCAGGTCTGTTGTGAGATATCAGCTCACTGAAGACAATGGTATATGGTGGCGCAGCTTCGTGGATTGGTTGAAGTTAGACATTAACACCGCCGGATGCCGGCTCAGTGGTCTAGTGGCTAAGTGCTCGCGCGCGAAACCTGTAGGTCCTGGGTTCGAATCCCGCGAGGTGCGGGGTCTTGGATGCGCACTGCTGAGGAGTCCCGTACTTGGACGAAACGGCCGTCCAGTGCTTTCAGGTTTTCCATGGTGGTCTAGCTTCAACTGACTCATGATTTCTATCTGTGAAATAAGATTATTACTTTGATGAATTTTTCTATAATTCAGGAAATGTGAAACTAAAAGCACCACAAATGTATTGCGTCAAAGTACTTTGAACGTAAAACCATAAATTTCTGTAGGGAGGAAGATTTCATGTCTTTACTAGTTATCTGGTAATTTTAATGCCTAACGATTCAATCACGCACTTGTTCAATATTTTTGGACATAACTATGTTATCCATTTGCCTGTTTCAATAGGTTTTTAATATTACAATGTTTTATTCTGTATTCCTTCATTGTAACATCTAGTTCCTGACAAAAGTCAATCTTAAACTAAAAAATATGACATATTGTCAAATAGTCTTTAAATGTGTTTTTTTTTAATTACATAAATATTATTTTCATATTTACTCCCAAGACTGTTTATCATTTGGCAAAGTTAGGACTAATAATCTTTTAATACAGTTACGTGGTTGCTGTATTTATCCACATTTATACAGTAATCATATGCCATTACCTATGATTTTTTTTCCGTAAGTTTAAACATGAACATTCTTCAGTGATCTTTATTTCAGACTAAAAATAATCCATTATGCACAGTATCCTTTCCAAAATTTACTACATCCTAACTGCATTGTGTTAATTCTAGCCGATTGAGACAATAAAATCCTGTAATTGCTGTATTACTTGAAATAAATATTTTCTGATTCTGGAAATGGGTTGTTTATATAGGTTTTTCACTAATGGCTTAAGAACTTATACGGCAACATTATACATATAATAGTTGAAATGTTTGAAGAGGACCTGCTTTAATATGGAACTATTTTGATAGCCTAAGATTATATTTTAAACTTTTCCAGTAAACTTGCATAATAATAACAATGTATAAATCACTAGAAAAATATCTCTCAAACAAGTTTATTCTCAAAGTAGAGCTGGATTATTTATGGAAATATAGTGACACGCTATTTATAGGAAATTTATCTAGATTGTCCTTCACAATTTTATGAATGCAGAACAGTGTGAATCAGTTCACATTTGTGAGGTAATCTTTTCTCGGTACTCAGACAAACATTAATTTTATGAGTTAACCCTAAACATAACTGGAAAATCAAGAAACATGGGTGTGTGAAAATAAATGATTTTGATCTGTTCTAAAGAAATTTAGTTACGTAGTGTTCGTAAAAATGAACTCGTGGGCTTTAAGACATTGAGATGTTGAAGAAGTTTTACAGCTCAAATGTATGATTTAGGTGGAGTTTTGTTCTTTGAGCTCTGTTATTTGATTATCATGGTCTTGTAAAACCACATACATATTTTAAATATTTCAAAAAAGGATTTAAACAAGCTATAGTTTTATGCCATTCTTACATATGTTTCTAAATTTATAGATCGTCTATAAATATTTTCATTGGTTCACTATTAATTAGAAAGTATCTACGTTAAAGATTTTGTGCGATTTCGACGAAAATCTTTTGCTTAGTATAGTGTTTAAGAAGTTAAATTACGATTTCTGGTGAAATTGATTGTATAATCTACATCGGTCAGGTATCCGTATTACGCAGTTAAAATTATGATACCCTATTTGTATAAATTTTCATAGAACTAACAGTAATTTAAAATTTTTATTTGTTGTGTGGTATCATTTAGAACTACAGCCGCTAACCACAATCACGAAAAAAGTAGCAGAAGTCACGTAATTTGCACACTATATTATCATGAGGTAGGTTTATACTATATAATATCCATATCCATTAACAAATTAATATTATGCCGTAATACAAGAGTGAATCTCTGAAAATATTTTCGTTATAGTCGTTAACATCATAAAGGTGATCAACACTTGCCTGATTATAGTAGTTTAGAAGTTTGTTTACGAACGATTCACAACATTTGTGTATTCACATGGTTCCATAAAAATATTACTTCCAACTTTTTTTTAGTGAACAAGCCACTATTCTATTATCAGATTTCGCAATAGACGGAAGCGACAAACAGTAAGCACACTGAAGTGCTATTTTTATTCGGCACTAAGAAAAATTTCTATCTTCATTATTTGACTTTTCTTAGCCTCGTTAATTTATCCGTTACTTGGAAAAATATCCTTCTTAATTTTCCATAATAGTTTACTTAGACTGTTCATTTGTTAAAGAACTATTACTTCTAATAGGATTTCTTTCAATAATCGTCTGACTTATTTATCTCAATTCCCAGTTATATATCATCGATTAAATATTACTTCGGCTATATGTAAATACTATCTTTGACCTTTTAATGCACTTTTCTATTAAACATTTCTTGATTAAGCTAATGAATTTGCTTCCAGTAAGTATTCTGGATAATAAAACGTTCTTCCATCCAAATCTATGCCAGAAAATGTGCTTCCTCAGATAAGTAATTGTTTATTAACTTCATTATGTTGATTAGAAAAGATAAATTCGCATATTTTATTTCGTACAAAACGATCAGCTTGCAAGTACGATATGTAATACGTAGGTGATGCAAGTAAGCAAAATACTGACGGCTTAGAAAGATACCTCATGAAGTCATAGAAACTTTTCACAATATATTTGCTTTCAAGTAAGTTATGATTCGATAACTCGTTAGGCACAAACACTTGCCAAATATTGTATGTCTCAGGACAGTGTATCAGTGTGACCATAAGGGCAAACTAAAACTATAGAACATAAAATATCAAGTAAATGAAATCTGATATTTTTATATAAATAGAAAATGCAGTTTCTATTAAAGTTATGAGTGATTTTAGTGCTAGAAAATCGTATCCAAAAAATGTGATTTATGTTTATTTTAGGAAAGATCTGGAAATGATTTTCCAAGAACGATAAACAGTAAACTCTGTCTAATTGATTTGGCTGGAAGGTAGGTTTCCAAAACATTTTATCTAATAAAATTTTATTATGTATTTAAATTATTTTTATACTCATGAGTCGCCTGACGACAACGTTTTCACTTCTCCTACAAGTAGTAAACAACTTGCTATTGGATTAGCTGAATACATTTAGACAACTTCACGAATCACCTGTGACAGAATATTCAAAAATATAGACGGTATATAAGTTATAGAGGGGTGGCTTGATTATTCAGGGACTCGGAGTTTAATAAATGAATCAAAAATTCAAGTCACATTTCTAGCACTAAGATAAAGAGTGTGATTTACAGTCAAATATATTAATCTGAACTTCGCAAATAAGTTACATTATACAAAAATCGACATTCAATCACCATTTACAATAAAAATAGGATATTATCGTTAATTCTTTATCTTACTGAACATATCATTTTAGTTGAGTTTTAAACAAAAAAAACGAATATGACAGAGTGTGCTAATTCAGTGTTTTGTTTCAGTTAGAAGTAAACACTTGAACCAGTAACAAAATGGCCTCAGAAACCGTGATAGTATTAATTTTATTTACACATGTATTTTTAAAAATCTGTTTGAACCTTATGACAGTTATTTTTCCATATAAATCATTTCATGAAAGTTATGCTATTTCATACTAAAAGAAATAGCATCTTATGTTGCTCGTTTCAAAACTGAGAAATAAATTAAGTAAGCTCATAAATTCTGAAGTTCATTAGTTTATCAGTAATGAGAATTCAGTCAGTGTTCAAACGGTCAAACGTGTTAGACCATCTAATGACTTAGCAGTTTATTAACTTTACTCTTCTGCTTTAGATTGTCCTTAACGACGTTTCTATTGAACTACATTCCTATTGTAAACATTCAGTCATTAGTGACGAATTGGTTTTGTTCTGATTTCAATAGTAGTGATCGTTATATTGAATATAAAAGTGAGCATTCCACTTACTGAGGCTAAATGATTTAATTGTCATAATTATCTATGTCATCATCATTTTTTGTGATCTATATGCTTAGATCTTTCATTTAAAAGGCATTCACTCAATCATTATGTTGAGTTATAAGGTGACCAATACAAGGTTGTATATATACAGTTGAGATTTCAATAATTTTTTGATAATTATTTTAGTGAACGTGTACATAATTTGAATGACAGTAAACGTTTCAATGAAGGTCGAAAAATCAACTATCCTTATCATGTTTGAGTACAGTTATCGGAAAACTAGGTGAGCTATACATAACATTTGTATGTTTCAACTTTAGTGTATCTGTAGACGTGGTGTGGAAGCGTTTGATACGGTATCTGTGCATTCCTTAAACCCATTAAGTTCATCTTCTGTTAATTCATATATCAAACCCGTTCGTATTCAAATATTGTGTTTCATTCCTAATAATCCTGACTTTATTCCATCGATGTAATTAAATGCACGACGGTTCTGAAAAAGATAACCTTGGAGGATATAGCTACAACAAAGTGACTTCCGGTGTGATTTATTTTCACAGCTTATCAAAAATGTGATTCAGGCTGGACAAATCTCAGAAACCCAATACTTTTCCTTATTGTCACTTGACCCTTGCTTGTCTTTAAATAACAGAAAAAAGTTAATGTCACTGGCGAAGAATGGGCCAACAATTGATTTAAGGATTGTCTCACTAACTAATAACTTACAACTGTTATTGCTCCACACAGAGAAAAACACATTTACTTCAAAATATTCAAGTCTTCGAAGTTCGTTTATCATACTCATTAATAATCAAGGCAAATCAAAGAGTTCCACGTAAACACAAATATCTTCGAAATATTTTTTGTATCGTTCTTATTGCATATTAATATGATATTATTGAACTTTTGTGGAACTATATAGAGTACTAAAATTTGATTAGACCTAATTCACAAATTTGCAGTCTTCCAAGAAGTTTAGCGCATTTCATAAATAATTTATATAAGCAACTAAACATAATATGAACAAGGGAATTCATGAGGTTCAAAAATGGATCTGTCAAAAAAACTCAATTGGTATGCTTTGTACTACATGATAATGCATCATTAATTTGATTGAACCGGTTAAAGAGCAGTTTACGTTTCAAAGTATCCAGTCTGCCATGGTAGGCTTCTATGAATGAGTTATTCTAGCTGTTCTTCTTTAATCATTGATCAGGTGATATTCGTTCATGACGAAAACTTTTCCAAGCAAATGAATTGTCCACATCTGATATTTCCAGGTATTCATTATTTTGACTTTCCACCCCGCAATTATTGATTATGGACATTAATGCTGATTAGATTTCCAATATCTCGAGATTTAAGGAAACAAATACTAATTATGAATTTCAGTATTATGTTCGACCGATGAGTCAGTTATTTGGAAGCTAGCTATTAATGTACAATACACTTAAATAAGGCTAGGCGTCACTTGTGTTGTAGTTTGATCCCTTTCATATTAGGTGTTTTTTTGTTCGGCTGAGTTTGCGTCCACAAGTCCACCACGCAGTTATTTGTGTTCTCTTCCGTGAGTGGTTTTGAAATCTTGATTATTTTTTCCCGAGAGTTCTTTTCTTTGTTCCCTGGATTGTCCTCACGATACCTTGATGGCTGATGTCAAGATTGCCAAATATTCTGATGTGAATATCATCTCTAGCCTCTCTTTTGATCATCCATGACGTGTTGTCATTTGTAGGAAGAAAAACCGAAAATCATCCGACTGGAAACATTTTGAGATCTTGGATAGAGGGTGTTCTAAAAACACCGGAGAATCGTTAGAGGCTTGGCGCTTAGGTCGATCAGCAACCAGTAAATACATTGAAATCGACCTGATCTATCAACCAATTAGAAAAATCATGGACAAATATTGGACCGAGAATCAAATCAATGGGAGATGCAATCAAAATAAAGAAGTAAATAATAGCAGGGTAAAGGTCAATGATAGCCAATCAAAATCGAGGTCTACAGGATAAGCTGAGTTATATGTGGAGGAATTCGAACACTTCAGTTCTACCAGAAGTTTGAGCTGATGATGTTGTTCAGAAAAACGATGAAAGTTCCATGACGAAACCATCTACTTCGGAAAATTAGACTTCACCAAAACTTTATCCACTCCACTTTTAACTTTTGTTGTGTCGTTTCCGACTCGAAGTGACGCATTATATGTAGTAAGTCGAGAACTCAGAGGCTCATACACTTTTCTGTTAAGTAGCAGTTATCAGTCTACAAAATGAAATATTTTCATGTTTATTCACTTATATCATTTTGGTGAGTTCAGCTTATTATGTTAACCCTAATCTCTTTAATTTTAATTTAGCTGAAAGAAATTCAATCTTTACCAATGATTCGGAACTGGCTGCACATAGTAGTCAGTCCACGTTGAATAGTACCAGAAGTTCTCACCATTCTAGTACTCATTACAGCAGTTCATTTCATATTCCTTATCGAAATTCCAAGTTAACATGGCTGTTAAGAGATTCTTTGGGCGGAAATTCACATACAACAATGATAGCAAGTACATAAACTATCAATATATTTATTGTTGTTCTGATTTTAAAATGTTTAACGATATCAATTTTCGTATAACCTTCATGCAAATTAGCCTCATGTAAGTTTCTAATGAATAATATAACGGATCAGTAAAATAATGTTTTATCACGTAAACGGAAAATATATGGATAAAAACAATATTCAAATGACATAATTATGAGTTACAATAATAAAACAGGTCAGTAGTAAATAAAAATATGATGGGATAAAACATACTATTCTCTGAAGTTGCGTAGTAAGAATGAGTCTATTGATTTATTTTAACTTACTGCAAGGAAGTGCGTTATTTCTTCCTGTACAGAATATATAAAAACAATTAAAGGTTTTAAAAAATATTTCAAGTCATTTACTTAAGTTTTATAATTTACAAGAGCACTTAAGATGTCATTTATGTCAGCTCAATCATGTTTAAAATCCTTTTAATTCGAGAATATTTAATTTAAATTTTCCGGTAGGTTTTGATTGTATTGATGTGTTTGAATAAATTACTTAATTAGGGTTCACCAGGAAACAAATAAATCTACTAGCGATACTTCTCAACCCCTTAAGTACAAACACAAAGTTTCCTTGAGCTCCCTAAAAAATTTCTGATAATAATAGCCCTGTTTCAAAAAATCCGTTTATGTCAAGGAAAATCTTAAACTTTTCCCAACAACATTAACCATTTTAAAAATCGAATCAAAAAACTTTACACTATGTGTAGTGAAGTATCTTTGTCAAGGCTGAAGATAAAATACAGGTAGGCAAATATTAGGCAATAGATATGGGAGAATTTCAAGAATCATTGATGAGACTGATTCTCCATACGGTAAGTATATGAATTTTGTAGAAGTTAAAACTGAGAAATATATATCGACACGTAACTAAAACTGTGAATTTGTCACACTGTACTTATTATTTATTTCAAGGAAGATAAACTATCAACGTTAAAAAGACAGAGTTAAGTGGAAAGGGTAAGAAATTTTAATTGAAGGAATAAATCGCTATGTTTCACAACCAGATAATAGGAAAATACGCCACTAAGGCAATATAACATTAAATTCATTTCTTATTTTTTGTTTGCATCTTCCCATTGCTGTATAGCACTGCGATTGATCAGTCTCTTATTAACATAAATGCATCATGTGCGGATTGCTTCGATCGATTTCAGTCCTAAATATAAATAGGAAGATTCATACAAGCAATACAAAATGAATCTGAACTTCACCCCACTGCACAAGCTAGTGGCTATCAGGACTTATTAGCTAAGGAGATAACGTGGTAACGTTTGAGGTGGACGGTACTGGGTTCGTGTCCCAGGGTAGACGTCGACCCGGGTAAATCTATGTCCGACTGACATGTCCCAAATAGGATGGAACGTACGTCCTGGATTCAACTGCTACCCTCCATCCATCTTTGCTTATAATAACAGGTTACTTTTGAATGGATGGATTTACTTTTATTGTTTTGATGGCTTTGGGAGTCTCATTAATCTTTCTAAATCCTTTGCTTATTGATTATCCAATATTAGCGTTATGTTCACAATTACTCAGATGATGTGGGAGATGAATCTCATTCCTTTCCCATCTGTGTATCTACATCATCATAAACACAGAAACTAGTAGAGATAAATGGTAGTGCTAATTTATTAACTTTTAATCATCTCAAAATTTATTCAATCTATCCCAAATTAAGAAGTTCTTTGATCAAGGCATTTTGTAAGGTCATCAACATATATCCTATTGATGAATAAACTTTAAAGTCACCCATCGCTATTATCTTGGTTACTACAACCCAAAATATATAATATATAATTGATTCCAATATCCACTGCATTTAGGTATGATTTACTATCTATAAACCAAAAGCTAAAAATTTAATGAATTTCAAAAAATATGATTTCTTAAGTGTTTTGTATTGATTTATTTCACTTCTTGACAGCTATATCACCCTCTTACAAACATTACAACGAAACGTTAAATACTCTACGTTATGCTCAACAAGCCAAGTTGATCAAAAATGCACCCAAAGTGAATGAGGTAAATAACATAAAATTTAAAGAATTATTTATGTTTTCTTACGATTTTGTTCATTAGGATTCATGCACAACTTATATAAAACAACTGTTGAACGAAATTTCGACATTGAAACAAAGGCTTTATGAAAAAGATTATTGTACAGTTGGAAGAGTAAGTCAATAAATACTTAGATTTTTCGATTGCTTTTATTTTTGATAGCTTCCTCCAATCATGAATTAATATTTAACCGTTTTTTAATATTTACAAATTTTGTAAACTGTAGAGAAAATGATAAAATCATTTAGACACCGAAAATTACACAAATGATTTTGTTTTCTCACAATCAGTCCAATGGCTTGTGATCACCTGAATGTCTGGCAGGGTATTAGGTTTGAGAACAGTTTATATTTTATGTGATGAAAGAATACAAGTAGAAAAAAAGCACTTCATTGTTTTGGTGCAAATGGTTAAATGTTCAAGTATTCGACTTCTACAGTAATAGCAAGGTAACGACTTGTGACAGTGAATATGTTTGTCAAAGAATGGTACTAACATAAGTCTGAGAATAATTGACTAATAAATAAATAACCGAGTAAATAGAAGTCTTCAAATTCGTCGATAACCGATAGTCTAGTCACTTGAAACTTCAAACAATATCCTGAATAAATAGATTAAGTAGTAACATATTAAAACCGCTTGGTCAATGAGTCACAGTTAAGGTGAAAAAATTCCACCAGTGTGCTTCAATGAAGATGACACATAGATACAAGTCATTCTAGCGATTCCCTTCAACAAGCTAACAGTAAAAGGTGTTTACCTATCAGTATATTTCAATTATGTTATTCCAAAACTCTCTTATCAAGTAAGAATTTTTTAACATCGTATTAATTACCCTAAAAGCTAACATCTTTTTCAGAAATGCCGCTTATTATTTCGTGAACTTGAATATCTTTAAATAAGAGTGAAACTTTCGATTTAAGCCTACTTGAAATCCGAAATCTGAACTTTAAAATTATTATGAAGAGCATAGTTTTGGTACTTTTTGTTGTAGTTATTTAAAACCAAAATCTTCAAATAAATGACTTACTGGTCAGTTGTACTCAACAAGACGTTATTTACTTCGTTCACTCAAAAATTGAACAACTTCGAATATGACATTATCGATCAATCGTGTATGCGTAAATTTCAGCTTAGCCGTAGTCATAGTGAGTCAGTAAACGAATGTCATGGGCTGAAGAAATAATACATTACATTTATCAGATAATCTGATGATATATGTTTATTTAGTGTTTTTCTAGAAACCATTATAATTAATAGAATCGTTAACATGAGATTTCTATATATTTTAGTATTTAGATCATACTAAAAGTTTGAACAAACGCAAACCACTCCTCCGAAAATCCAGCTCGGAAAGTTCAGTAAGTTTGTGTTTATAAAAAATAATAATTACGAATGAAAATCGTTTGCAGTATTTTATTAAATTTAAATGTTTTTGAAAATTAAAGTTACTTAGCCCAAGCAATCAAAACAGCTAGATATGCAATGAAAATATATGATCCCTATATGATATTGAATTGCATACAAAGCGAAGAAGAATATTTGGAATGATTCTTTATATCATTAAACACTTACGGCAAAGAAATTTCGAATTCGTCAGTTAAAACTTGTATATACATATACATATACATATTTTGTAAGTGAACTGGAAAGTTTATTTTTAAAACTAATTACTTGGTAGCATTACTGCGAACCTTCACTGAAATACATATTCGGAAATTAAATACAATGTGAATAACTAGGAATAATGTTACAGAGTTATTTACTGTTAATTACTCAGTCTTCATTTATTTACATTTGATTTTTTAGATGCAAAATCATGCCTTTTCAAACAATTTGAACGAGTCCTCAGATTTCAAAGAACTCACTTTACAATGCAAATCTGCAAAACACCAAAAAAACATTGGTTTGTTTATACCAATTTATAACTTTGTCAAAAAATTCCTTCTTGGAAATTGGAACATTTTTAGAAATTATAGACATAACTTCGTAGTGTTTTGTTATTATTCAGTTCCCTGTAATCATTTTAATATCTACTCAAAAAAGAACCGTAAAACTAGTGACTACTCATGAGTAGTATACTTAAGTTGGAGAATTATTTTTTCCAGTTATTCTTATTAAGATAAAATGGCGAGTAAAAATTACATAAACTTCACTTTAAGGCGTATACACTTCTACCCTTCTTATATATTATTAGTTCTCCCTTATACGTTGAAATCTCTCTCCTCTATAACAAGATATCTCATTTACTTTGAATTCATGGATCGATCATTGTTTGACGATCTTTGAAAACCAGAAAGTACTGGACGTGTTTTGTCCCATAATCGGACTTCTCAGAAGTGCGCATCCACGACCTTACATGCAAGACTCAAGTTCTGTCTTGCGCACAAACATTTAAGCCTTAAACCGCTGAGCCGATACCCAACGGTGCTCATGTCTAGTTTCAATCAATACACCGTCTACTCTTGTGTTCTATGGGTAATTGTCTGACTACCAACACGGAGTAACTTTATCGGTAACAACGTATCATTTAGTGACAAAATTCTCTATCTTAAATTTTACGCGCGATTATCTAGAACTTTAAAGTATACTAACGTATTTCAACAATCAAACTCTCAAAATCTATTAAGAAAATACCTATGAATAAATAATTATCAAACATAAGACACACTTTTATAGAGATTAGTACATTGAGAATGCTAACTGACCAGATGATGTCATATAGCTATGCGCTACATAAAAGACTGCTAGATTTGGCGTTGCAACTAAAATCTTTATGCATTCAACGTAACATCTATCTGCTCACCGACAAAAACACATCTGAGCTAAGAAACAAGCAATAGTATGCCCAACTGATTAGTAATACATTATTATTTTCTAACTTGTAAAAATGCTGTTTATTTACCGGGTTCATATATCCTGTCTTATTTACAGATATTCTAACTACATCATATGGAAAGTATGTACAGCCATTCAAAACTCAAAATTCTGACGATAAAATGGTAAGTCGAAGCCTATAAATTATTTTTATTACTGCTGGGGACATATTAAATCATGCTCTATTTACAAAGTGTTTAAATCTATCCAAACACATATTTGTGCTTTCCTATTTTCCGAGAAAACCGCTGTCAGAAAAATCACGAATAGAATTTGAAAATATTTTCCTTAATCGCTCTACGAATATACATCACACTTGTTTCGACTTAAATCAATATTCTAATACATACTGTGTTTCATCCAATATTTAATAATGAAATTCAGAAGAAAACAGTTTGAAGACAATTAATGTCATAAAATATAAATTTATCTAATAGAATACTATACATCTCAAACCTATATTGCAGAAAATGCTAAGCAGAAAAATTGTATTGTGCAATTTTCAATAAATGTTATCAGCATTACGTGGAAATTTAAGACAAGTAAGACCATATTAGTAGAATGTGATTACATAGGTTTTTCAGGAACTTTAAACAAAATCCTGTAATTCGTTTTGATCATACATATTCTTTAATTTTATAGAAAATAACAGTAAGGAAAATGAGACTTCAAATTGTCTTATGTTTTATTTTACTCGTTTATGTAATTGATGTTTTACTGAAAATTATCTCATTAAGAAAACCAGATTATACTCAATTTATAAACCAACTTTTTTCTACATTTGAAATTGTAGTATTTTTGTTATGTTAAATTACTATTTACAATTATCGATAAATAAATTATTGTTGGTCGTTATATAGTAATTGAACTGATGTTTATTGATTTTAAAACTACCTTTTAATATTAACGATAATAACAGTAATCAAAATATTATTTTGCACTCCATAACCGCTCTTTTGCATTGACCTCAATACACTTCAATACAAATGAACAATTCAAAAATCTATTTACCATAAATACATTACTTGATTGGAGATTTAAATCAACCAATCAGTTAAATATAATACCAATGGCACTTAAGTCAAGCATCAAACTGTTAGCTAATGGTCTATGTCTTTATAAGAAGCTGGAGTTTAGTTATGTAATCCCAAATAAACGTTATTTTTATTCCACGTCATGCTGTTTCTGTAGGTGATGTAAAAGACAATTCTAGTAACCTAATAATTAAACAACAATTCATTATGATATTACGTCACAGTTTTAAAAATTTAACAGCACAACCTAATACTAATCATCAGTGGATGAAATTGTTTTTCCTGAAGAGAAATACTTCTTATTATAACCCTCCGTCAATCTACCCTTATTTTATTAATTCTGTTTATCAGATATATTCTCAGAAATTTAATGGTCACGACCACCAGCATTCTGACCAACAACAACAAACCTGTCAACAGCTTTATGATAGTCAATCATCATTGACTGTGGATCAAAGTACACAAACTATACAAGTGGAAGAATATGAAAAAACTTGCTTTGATTATCTACACAGAGTAGAATTACTGAATTTCTTCTGTAACAGAATGAATAGGTAAGAGGGAAAGCTGTTTTATATCGTTACATTTGATCCACAAGAGCTAAGATCCATATCTTTCAGTTATTAATAAATTTCAATGTTAATTTGCATAAAATTCGTCATATCTAACATTAGGTATTTTTAATATTATTTCATAAATAAATCCAGCTGATAAGTTATTACAATAATTTTTCACGACGTATTTTTGGTTATTCTGAAACTATATATGACAGTCGTTCACTATGTGTTCAGCAACAACTATTAGCACACTTGGATTCTTTAATACAAAATAAATCCAATAATTTGTCCTAAATTAAATCAGATGGATTGTAATCTTCGTTTATTGATAGACTTGTGACCTGTTAGTATATTTAAGGAATTCATACAACATATTACCTGAGTTATGTTAACGGAGGTGTTAAACTTTTAGTTGATTCGGTAATAAAAACCAAAACATTTTATATAAAATATAAAATTAAGAAGTTCGAAACGTAAGTAACTGTTTTCTTTTAATTCGTTATCTACTTACTGTTTAAGTGGCCTTATGATTTTTTTTGTCAGGTTTAATCTTTTTTTTATATTGATTAATGAAGGCAAAAACTAAGTTAATCAAAACTGTTAAGTTTCTTGTTGTTTTCTGACTGGATATTTTAATTCCTCCCAATTTCTTTTCTAATCAATATGAATCATTTGATGCAAGTGACTTGGTAAATAATAATGACTCGAATTATTCAATCCTTTCACCATTACTGTTTATTTCTTTAAAGTATTCCTTTTTTAAGATGAATTTTACAACAATTAATTATTATAATATGCAATAATTTTATATCATTACTTTTCCAACTATTTATACTGTAAATGTAGAAAATTTATTCTAACAAAATTACTGTCGACGTTTAGGCACCTTTAATAATGAATTATTATTCACAAAATTATCATTTATATTAAAGAACACTTTATTAGTTACTAACATCATAATATTTATTAAAACAGACATTTTTCAAAATGATTAATGTTCATTGTATGATTACTCTTACATTTGTATGAAAAGTAACTTCATTGTGGATACATTGTACAAGATCATAAATATTAGTAATAAGATATATATACATATATGATTGATTGAAAATTCCGTTGATCTAATAAATAAGCGAATTATTATTTCAGTATAAAATAATCAAATAAATTATCAGATAGTTGAACTGTGACTGTTTAAAAGCTAAAAATTTATGAAATACAAAATTCAAAAACAAGATCTTTCAAAAACGACAGTCAGTTTGTCGTATTCAAAAAGTTTACTACTGTGTAAAATATATATATATCTTAGCGATACATGTATTTGTACGCTTCTAAATGAAAATATAAAGCTTTTATATCATGGCTTAAAAGTCTGAAAAGATAAATATTACTTAAAGAATATATATTAGAAGTTAGAACATTGTTTTTCTATGAAATCAAGGTTTCGTTTTTAGTCTGTTGCAAGAACAACAGTGATGTCTGTCAAAAATGTTAAGGAGTTCGTCAATAAAGATCTATAAATTTTGGCCACATCTCCATAATAATGAGTGTTCCAAACTGTTTAGGTGATTTATAAAACCAATACGAATAAGGCGATACCTTTATATACATTAAAGAAATGTCTATTCATTTAAATTGAGAGGACGTAAATAACAGAAATACAAGTAGTACAAAAGGTGATGTAATTATCTGATAGTTATAAAATACCTTTCACATGTCGAACTAGAATTCAGCTTTCTATACAAAAAATATTCTTTTAAGTTTACCCTGGTTTCATTTGATACTTATGTGATTTTAAATTTTCTTATCAGATTTCCATCTAAGGAAACAATGGAACAACATGATAGGTGTGCAACCACAATTCATTTGACTAACCTGCCAGAAAGTCTTTTGAATTCCGGCATAGTTAGTAACACCTCAGCTAATTTGCATATATCTAACTATCCTAATCTGTTGGATAGAGATTCAGTTTATCATAAATCAACTGCGAATTATCAGGATGGTCAAAACAGATCCAATGAGAATGATGAAACTGATGAAATGCTTCTTAAAGCTAGATCAATGTCCTCTGGTGATACTGGTTCTGAAAATTATGAGGAGAAAGAAGATACAAGATATCATTTCAATTTTGATCTAAGTAAGGAACCAAGCAAGATTCTCGCATTGAAGCAAGATTTTTCTGAAGGTAAAAAAGCAATACAGAAGTTTCAGTCTCTGAGTGTTCCAACATCGACACCTAAACAAATTTCTAAAGTCAATGAACTACGAATGAGAAGAAAGCTATTTCTAAGCAAATTGAGGAATGTTAGTTATTCTTGGAGAATGTCTGCCAAGAAAAGATCAAAATTCACAGACAAATTCAGCAAATGGGTGAACTTTGACAGTAATTCTAAACAAAGAATAAAAATGCAGTGTCAAAAACGTTCGAAGGTAAAAATGCTACTTCAGTGTTTCCATGTAAACAATATCACCTTACAAAGATAAGTAAATGTACCAACCTGAATTCATCCATCAAAAGTAGTGAATTGACTGCTTCCCTACTTTCATCTACAGATTTACGACTTACCCATAGCCAGAACTTACTAAAGGTCAGAATGAATATGATGTAATAAATTTGAAACATAAATCTCATATAAAACTTGATCCAAGTTCATTAACAGCTCTAAACTTAGCTACCACAGCATGTTTTTCGTCTCCGTCTTCTGATAAGACTACTATATCTGATTTACAGGACAACAGTGCAACATCAGAACAGGTTGTTACATTCAATAAAAGCCATATAAATATACAACCAACCCAAAACAGAAAAACATACGAGTTTAATGACACCACAGATATATCCTTGAATTTGAATGACAGTTTAGAAGAATTTGATGGTAGTGACACAAGTTTCGACTTAACAACTAGTATCGAAGTAAATAAAAATGACGGATTTTATTCTGTTCAACCAAGCGATATCCAACGCACCTTCGACACATCTCTTTCTTCTCCTTCATCCATACGGTAAGCGCTAACGGGTCACAAAATAATAAGATTACTGTCATATTCAGTGGTATGCTTATAACTTGATTTTCAGCTGAGCTACTTCGATTTATGTTAATATAGGTTGAAATAGCTGAAGTATTCATAGGTACTTATGAACCTTTATTTCATCTATATAGTGCCTTTTCTGGTCCTTCATGGTCCATGTTACTCACAGATAGTAAAGAAAGTTCCATATGGCATAAATTATTTTGGATGATATGATTTCATTATTAAGAAAAAACACAGGATAAAAAATTGATTATTCATTTTGATAGATGAAAAGTGACATTAAGCACAAGGGCTTTAACGTCAGTTCAACATCTTAAAAATGCAATAAATTTCAACGTACACTCTTCTTATCTGATTGAGTATTAACAGAAATGGATTTACTAATAACGCTAAAATCAAAACCGTTTTTTAATGAAACTAACATCAACAAATTAGAACAAACCTTAGTGATTCATAGAATTACTAGAAAATGATCGCTTATTTATTTTGCCATTAAAGAAAGGGGGTTACGAAAGCGATTATTTCTCTGTAAAAAATATGTTAAAAAAACAAACCAATGAAAATGCACATACCATTTTGTCACTTAAAGTTTACTTAAAAATACATATGATTGGAAATCAAAGGAGAAACAATTAAAAAACAATACATATGGCTTATAAAGTGATCATACAGAGACACACATACTCTAGTAAAGTTAATTCTCCAGTTATGAGCCCATTCCCTCAAGGGTGTCTGTTTACCTAAATGGTTCATTCTTATACTTCAGTCTATTCCTTACTGATCTTAATTTATATTTTTATGAGATGTCCGATAAAAATATACAGTTAGTTATGTTCATGATTTAGGTTATTTACATGACTACGATACTTCATGTTATTTTTTTAGCATTATCATTGTTACATGGAGTTTATTTTTCTTATCGAACATAGTATGCAAACTTTTCATACCTTACTAATTGATATATATTTACATTTGTCAGTCAATCTGTCAAAGTGGCTATCCATAAATAAATAGAAACTATTCAAAGGCGGTAATTATAATTTATTAGCATAAATGTGTAAAGATGATAAAACGGAAATTATGAGTAGAAACTTTACTTCACTAAAAATACCTTAATGGAACAGTTTTATGTGGAATTTACGAAGAGAAATAAGTGGCAGATGTATTTTTGCCCATGTGAATCATTTGAGGTCATATTGTCACCATAGTGACACTCAGTGAATTGTATTTTTCAATTACCAATTTAAGTACTTCGATAACAAACAAAGACGCCTTGGTAAAATCAATTAGACTATTTCGCTTCTATGCCCAAATTGTTTTAAGAAAATGTCTTATGGTTATCATGTAAATATATTCCATTTAATTATTAATAATCATATCGTAACACATCATTTGAAAATATTCACTTGTTTATATGTTAAATAGCTGAAAAACTTACAGCTTTTAAGCAAATTACTTGAAATGATTTGTTTATCGTAATTAGTCATTTGAAAGTAGCTATTCAGTTTCCTGAGTCACAGTTCCAACAGTTCTAAAGTATTCAAGTTCATTCTCAATATATAACATCTTTTAGCCCTAGACTTAAAAGCTCGGCTTCAGTACGAACGGTGTTTACTTATTCATTTATGTGACAACCAAATACTGGTTAAATGAAAAGTTTAAATTCACTTTAATATTCCATCAAGGAAAAATTGTTAAACAAATTTAAGCGTTAAGTTATTAAACGACTACTGTAGTTCATTTGTTGGGGGTTTTAGGATTTTTCATAAGCCATGGAAGATATTAGTTTGTGTTCCATTTACAATTTAAAAATTATGTTTTTCAACATACTAGGCATTTTCTGATATTCGTCTCTCACCTATGAGAAAATAAGGTTTACAAGTGATTTAATTTACTTCAGTGTTCAACTTCAAATCATGAAATCCAATATGACTTGCTGGATTTACTTAAGATAGATGAAAATTAGCTTTAGGTACTTAATATCTACAGAGGAAAACTGGAACCATTAACGCATGCTTCCATGTGCTTGTAAAACGATTGGCTAAAAGTACGATTATGACAGAGTGAATTTTTTTCAATAATTTAGCAATGAATTTCTTCTAGTTTGTGGACTAATGTAATTAATTGATTGTTTAGTTCGTTCTTAATATCAGCTGAATAAATTGGTAAGCGAATAGATTAATAACAGTACAGACTTAACAAAGAAATTAAAACTTTATTGTTAGGATGTATTTTCTGTAATAAATATTTTAGGTATATTCGTATTAACAAATTCAGCATGAACAACACATCATCCATATTATAATAATCTGTGCACATCCCACTTTGAGAATATTTTGAATGTTTACATGATTTACCTACTTGTAAGTAGCTAATGTAATCAAAGTAAATTAATTGTTTTCGATGCTTCAGCACGGAAGATCTTTCTCTTGAAGAAGCCCATGACGTGAAGAGTAAAAATGGTAGGTCTGTTCATTAACTGGTACTAAAACTAGTTATATCTTTCTTGCAATATTTCAGTGAGATCGTATTTTAAATAATATGCTTTTTTTACTAATTCAACTTCATGTTTTATGTAAGCTGGCAAGTGATTTTGTAGCTATTTTTATCGAACAAACATTTACATAATTGTTCAGGAAGTAAAAATCTATAAGGTTCAACAAATTTTTTCACAAAGCTTTAAATAAAGATTCACTATTCATCACTAGAATTAATAACGTTTACACTTAAAACTTATCCACTTATGAATGCGAAATTCTCGTGTCATTCAGTTTAGGAGAATATTTTGAATTGTATGGTCGTTCAACACCATCCTATTTCTTACTGATCACATTTTATATCACAACAAGGCTGAATACCAAGAATATTCATGGAAAAAGACATCTTATGAATTTTCGCTCGGCAAATTGTGGAGACCTCTTATGCCTTTCTGGTGTAAAATATTTTTGACTTTGGAATGACCCATACAAGATTTTTAAGTATGCTTTGGGTATCACCGTTGTAGAATATCAACAGACAACCATATAATGTCTAGAGACTTTAAAATATTACATTTCAACCGTATAGTTAATAAACATCACTGATGTGTGAATAATATTAAAACCGAACTTATATGTTGATTTATAATTACTTAATAAGTTAGCTTAACTCATGGTTTGTTGCATAAGGTTCTCTTCAGACAGCCACAAACTTTAATCTGTAAGGGTTTCGTTAAGTGTAACATATGTTTGCCTAAAATTACTGGGAATATTGCATGTACACCAGACATTTTTAAACCGTCATCGTTACGCTGTCCGTTTGATAGTACTCACTGTCTATTATAAAGGCGTTATATGGTCGACATATACACTTTTTTCAGAATGAAGAATAGGTATTATTGGTGAACTATATCGTCTAAGATTTTTTTGTCTTACTCTCAACTGAATACATTTTGTAGAGATCTTTAACTGACTGATATCTTGTCACATATAACCTTCAAAGTAACTCATTTGGAAATCCAATTAGGTATCAAATAGTCAGTATGTGAAGACAAAAGATGTCATTATACAATTAGATTTGCCAGGATTTCAGTTCCTGAGTTATTTTATGCCTAAAGCGCAGCAATATGCCCATACAATGGATATATTTTGATGAACATCACATTCTCATGAATCACAAATTATTACGTGCAACTGGATAAAATTCACTTTAAAACTGTTACGTTACTTGTCTTCGCTGACACTCATAGTGGCTTCACCTCATTTCAACGTATCCGTAGACTGTGTCAAAAAGGCACATTTTACGGCCGTTGTTACTGAAATTTTAGTATCATCAACTTCATATCAATATTTATGAGATTAACGTTACAAGAAAATTTACATATGGAGACAAATTTCCTTAAGGGTCATGAATACGTATTATAGGAAATTCAAAAAGAAATAACATATATATTTTACGGATAACGACTGACAGATAGTTATCACTTATATCAATAAGACGATAGTAAAAAAATGATTGCTTGCTGAGTAACTTGAAAAACACATGAAGTGTAAAATCTTATCTTTTTTGTATGTATCGTTTTATTTTAAAGAATATTGGATAAAATAAAGCGATCTATGAAAGCTGTTATCGTTGGTTTGAAAATACGTCATTATTTAACTATCCATGATGAATTACACAATTATTTGTTCCATACTTTTTACATAACAAAATGCACTACAATTATCTTTGTTAGTCTTTTGATTTGACTATTCTGTGTTATTATTGGAAATATTGCGTCTTAGTTAGTGTCTCACTGTTGAAATTGTTGGAACGCGTTACGATCCTTGAGATATTTTCTCATTGTGATAACAGCTGATCTAATATCTGTTTCTACTGAATGTCATGCATTTTATTACGTCATATTGTGATAGTAGTCTATAGAGACATGTTTATTACGCACTATCTAGATTTAGAATATTACATCTGTAATTAGACAGTAGAATACTGTGGTGACCAAATTTTTTTAGCTCGGTTATGTACAAGCTATAGCTTTACTGTTTCCATGGTCTCTCAATTATTACTACTCATATGCCTGCTTGAAGAAAAATCACATCTACTCGTCGATTGTATGGTTTTTTTAAAACTACTCATGAGTAGTCCACAAGATTGCACGAAAATGTTGTACTTTACAGTTTGAGTGAAGATATGTATATTCCCTAAATCATAATAATTTCAGTAAACAAACGGTGACTTGTTAGTGATGCAACAAATTGTTGCACAAAGCTTATGGGATTGTCATTCGTACTACTATACACGTATGTTTCAGCGTCATTTTTTAAATCTGTTCTAATTAATTCATATTTTATGAATATGGGCTGGGAAAGAAAATTCTACTACGAATGACTAACACTTAGTCATACTCATTAAATATTCATATTGTATGAGTAAATTGGTTTTGATTTTCACAGCACTTCTCGTTATTACTATGTCAGTTAGTATTATTTTTCTAATTTA